GTGGCGCCATCATGTATTGCAATGTTTGTCTTCAACCAAACCCTGGGCTTTCGTTTGAGCCGAGGTAATGATGGGTTAAATTTAATTACTAATTAAAACATATAACAAAGATTTGTGGCTGACTTCAGTTTTTAATCTCATTCCAATTTTGCTTACCTCTTTATATTAAATGATTAGTAACAATAGCTGCGTTATCATAACAGATAACCCAGATTGTAAGGTTTGGTTTGGGCCAATGATGAGGACAAAATCTGTACGGTTCATTTTAATATCTTATTTCTCCAGAATAAGATATTAAAATACTCAGAATCAGAAAACCTGAGTTTTGGTGATCAATTACAACAAGAACAATCAGCTTAAAACCTAAAAATACAGAATTAATCTCAAGCTAAGCTTGATGGCATGCCTTCAACATACAGTCCAGCTATTGTGTCGCAGATTAATGGGTGTTTGCCTGATTATTAATTCTCAGTCTGTGATTAGTGCAAAGCCACTGTGCAAACAGTTTTATCCCCTCACGCTACACGGTTTTGGCAGCCTGAACCCAGCGGCACCTCCTTGTTATAAAGTTACACTCCTCATGGCATCAATTCTTCATCAATAACACACAGTGCATAAAATCCAAAGCCAAGAATTGATGGTGCACTCAGCGTGACTCTGGCTTCTGGGGGCTTTCAAATGCCACAGGAAAGGGACTCGCTGGCTGGAGCTCAACAGAATCTGCTGACAGATCTGGGTAGCTGAACTCTTATAATGAAAAGGTGAGAATTAGACTAAATACATCAGCATAAGACAATCAAATTAAAAATGAAAAAAGTGTGTCCTGATTAAAAATGTATTTTATGTAGAAGTCCAAACATTTTTCTTACTTCAAACCTGCTGTTCTCTTATCTGTGCAGCCAGTTCCAGTCCAAACATGCCACATTTTGAGATCCGTATCTTTTCCCCCTTTGCTAATCTGTTGCCAAGGAAGCACGGCACCGGAGCGGATCATCTGAGGATATTGAATAAATATAATCTATATGATGCATTATTCCACCTGAGGTGGTCAATGTGAATTGTCTGTGACCTTTTTAGAATCACTGACCATTCATTCCTCCTTAAGGAGGACAGACATGGGTTATGCAGTTTAATAGAGATTTCTGCTGGCAAATGAAAACCCAGGATCTGACATCAGATCAGCAATAAACAGAATTATTGCAATTACTGTGAAAATGTGTAAGAAGCCACAAATTTACACTTAATTCCAACTAAGAACATTAAAGTACTTTGTACTATTCCTCCTTTTTGATAGGGTTAGGGTTTGGTTCTGAATGTTTTGACATTTGGGTTCAAAACAGGAGATCACAGCTCAAATTATTTCTATTATTTAAAAAAAAAAAAGATGCATTAGTCGGAAACTTTTTGGGCGATTTCTAATGTCCTGTTTTGTCAACAGTAAACAGTCCAAGAAATTAGATCTGAACCTTTTATCGGATTTTGAAAGTTTTTTTTAAGTTAAAACCTTAACTTGAATCTCAGCGTTTGACTCTGACTAAAGTCTAAAAACTTAGATGAATCAAATGCATAAAAGAAAAACTTTAACTGCAACTAAATAATGTAAGAAAACAGTGAACAATGCTGTTCTGTCTCGGAAAACAATGGTGGAGTACCTTAAAAATGTTATGGAAAACATCCAAATGTTCAATACATATAAAAAACATACTGTAGTTGCTAGTGGAGGAAAAAAAAACACTATGCATAAACACATGGAAGCTGGGAATGTAGATGAGAGTGAAAACACTGACTGATATAAAACATATGACATTTGTTGGGTATTTTTATATGGTGCAATGTGTACAATTTTGCTGCAAAAGCATCAGCAGGAGGCTGTTAAAAATAAATGTGTGTTAGATATTGAGGATCATACAACAAAAGACGTGGAAACATGAATTATGCTCAATTATGCATAACATCATTTTAACAGCTGCAGTCTGCCAATCAATTCCAAATAGAGATAAAGTTTAAAAGGTGCATTACTTATCACCTAGCTTTATTTTGATCTCTTTTGTAAAAAAAAATAAAAAATACTTCAACCTTTTTTAAGAGTCCAACATGACAAGACAAAGAAGGGCCAAAGCAAGGATTGCACAAAACCGACAAGACCTTCGTGAAAAGACTGAGCAGCCTCTATAATAATGACAGTCATTAATCCTCATAAACTATTTCACCAAGACAAACAAAAAATCCTGACGGCTTCTGTGGAAAATTGCAAAGAGAACATGAGCGGCAAGGAGATGGACAGCAAAAAGTCGAGCTTTTAGAAGAAAACCCGGAGAGCACAGGTGCGACTCTTTGACCGGGTTATTTAGCTATTGTGTGGCAGCGACAGCTCTAATGGAAAAAATGACAGGCAGCCGAAGAGACAGAGATGGAATGACAAAGCAGTGGAATAGAAACGAAAGAAAATAGACAGATGGGTATAAATATAGATATACATTGTTTGACGTCAAATGAATTGACTACGTCATTTGCAATGAGCATTGCTGCAGTGATGTTATTATCAGCTGACTTGTAACCTCACTGAAATTTAGGATTATTGTTGTGTAAGAGGAAATGCTTTAGCTGGTCATAAAAGAAGAGATTAAAATGCCTCAGCAAACAGAGACAATATGTGAATCAGGTGATAATTATTTAAATTAGTGTGGTCTCATCTGGACAAGCTCATTTCTTGCTACAGAGATTGGGGAAGAAATGAATGTCTGATCAAAGACAGGCTCAAAGTTCAATTCAGTACGAGTAGAAATAATTAAATAATCAAAAAAATGGTCCGGAAGAGAAAACAACACTGGTGACATCAAGATTTTTTTGTTTTGGTTTTGTAAAAGTCTGATCTACCTTTTAAAGTTCAGAAAAAACTTTTGGTTGCCAAACCTGAGAAAGATTTCACTGCCTTCACAAACTTTTGCAGGATGGTTCATATTTTCACTTAGCGTAGCATTAAAATAATAGTCACATTTTGACTTTCTGTTTAATATAACACATTTATTTCTTAATGAGCCGCACATAGCCCAGTTCAGTTTGTCAGAGTATTTGTTCTATTTACTTTAGTCCATACAGTCTCTGGTTTTCTGAGGGGAATTTGTTGAACCAGGGATCACCGTCACCTCCCAGTCAGGATCTCCCAGAAGAACCAGCTCTGCGTTTGCCGCGTTGCACAGAAGATCATTAAGTGAAGTAGCTGCTTAACTCATGGCGGACGGTGATCGACACCGGCCAACTACGACAATGTCTGAGCTGTTAAGAAGCAAAACAATTAGGAGTGAATGCAGTTCAACTAGCATAAACTGTTATCTAATCTCTTTCTTTAGCTTGGTCTGTTCTAAAAATACCACAGCCCTTAAAGTTAATCATGTCGTTTATGACTGATTGATTAAGCCACGTCTCTGGAAGAATGTCACAGGCTGTAGTATTGACCCATAGCTTTAATCAAGTCCATTTTGTTATTTATGCTTTGCACGTTAAAAGTTGGGTAAGTCTCCGAATGCACAGGACGATCATTTCCATCTGAGGAATGAAGCAAAAATGCACAATAGTTTGATTTGGAGAAGGTGAAGAAGAAGTGTCTGCATCACCGTCTCCACAAAGCTTTGGTGAAAGGTGCAGTTAGCCAGCTCTAATTTATAATTAGTGGCTGTTCCCTTTTTGGTAGCATGAGCCAATTAGGAGTGATGACAACCTGTAGCATGGAGTTTATCTCTTAAATGGAAGAAAAACTCTCACCTTAAAGCAAATACAATAAAAATATGATTTTCATAAATACCAGACCACGGAAATATACAAAGAAAAGAAAAAAAATAAAAGACTTTACGTCTGGGTGAATGCACAGCATGGAGGCCATGTTATTCAAGTTCTATATGTTAAATGACAGATTTAATGTTTTTATTCTCTGTGTGGGAACATTTTGATGTTTGGTGGCCAAAAGCAATTACTTCTGAACTTAATGTAATTTAAGTACATGCTATTTTATCTTTTAATGTGCGTAACGAGGTAGTAAGGGAGAGGATCGGACACTGAGGTGGCCATGTCAAAGGTCAGTGCCTGGCTGTACTGCTGGAGTGAAAAGAGATATTTGTTTGCACTGGCAGCTGTAATAACAAAGATTTTCCTTCTACTTCTTTGTAAAATGACCTTCTGCCTGTTTGTGCTGCAAAAACAACAACAACAAAAAAAGATCCCCGACTTGGATGAATATTTGATTCTTAATAAAAGTGAACATTCCTCTGGAAATAAGATTTTTATCTGGTGAGAATCCACTTTTACTGGATTATTTTAAAACAAATTCTGAAGATCCAGAACATTTCAGGCTTTGCTGATACAGACTTTAACCAATTCCATTGTTTTTTCCTGAAAGAATTAGATTTTAAGGAAGAACAAGAAGTGTCTCAAAGTGTTTCTCTCTCTCGCTCTCCTGCAGCCTGGATGAACGACATAGATGTGCGGCTGCTGTGGCATTGCTTTGCTCTGGTGTGTTCACTGGAAAACGGGGAGGAGGGAACATCGTCAGATTCTAGTTCGATTCCTCGGTGCATCACCAGTTTTAATGGTTTTAAAAATATTTCTTGAAATAATGCTAAAACCAGGTGAAGAGCTGGTTCATTCACTGTGCGAATATCCACTCGCCATATTTCAGTGTCGCGAGTGGATGAGTCCATGCACACTCAGCTTCAGTTTTCCCAAAAGATCCCAAAAGATCAAGTGATTCAATCAGAGGGTAAACTAGATTAGGGTGATTGGGATTTGTGAGGGAGGGAAAAAATCAGAGGGGGAGGAGGGAAGTTTAAGAAACTTAAAAATTATACTTAATTAAGAAAGGAGATGGCTTTGTCTAGCCAGGAGCCCCAGTGGGAGAGCAGCGGATTACTGGATTACATGGAGCGTCGCTGGTCATGTGAGGTAGCATGGTCTACACTGACCCAGCTTACCATCTTTGAGTAAGGAAGCTAAGCCCGACTGTGAACGTGAACGCACGCATGATGCTGTCCAAGCATCCTTCAATCTCCTGGAAAGACCTCAAATGACTTCTCTATCTCTGCTTGGCTTCCTCTTATACCTCTTTTATATCTTTCCTTCTTAGTTTTTTCACCTTCTCTTCCTCTCCTGACACCTTTTAATTCTCTTGACTATTTCTGTCCCCTTATCTCCTTTTCTTCCTCCTCGTCTTTTCCTGTCTGCCTTCTCCGGGTGTGAGAAGCCTCCTTCTGCTGCATGTTTTTGCATGAACAGCTCACCCATGCCCTCACAAATCCAGCGGTATTCACTGCCTTTTGTATCCAGGGGAGTAAACAATGAAACTGAAGACGGAAGAAGACCCATTTCAGAGCCAGGAGCAGAAACGTCCCAATAGAGGACTCAGGAATATTAGCCTGGGTAAGTTTAACTTTCATTGACTTGCCAGCAGTGGACACAGCCTGTCTTTAGTTACTCTGGTTCAGTGTTTGAGAAAATTGTACAAGCATAAGCAATAATTAAGTTTCTTATTTTGTCATGATATAGCTTGCGAATTTAAAACCTCGCTGATCAGCATACAGCTTGCTCAATTCTAGATAGTATTGCAAAAATGTCATTCATCATATTTTGTATTTTTCAATGGTTTGCCCTGGCTTAATGTTTTACAGATTAAGCTGACTTAAGCTAAGTGAAGTTTTTGTAATTTTTTCTCTGTGGCAACATTTTAATCCATGCACACACACTCCGGAAGACTTCCTAAACTGGATTAATGTAATTCCACATCAAATCAGGGTTCGTATTAACTACGCGCTGGAAGGTAATAGACATAATGCATTTACAAACTGCTGAATGCTAAAGTTTGGATCATAGATTGAGCTTTATTATAATGAACCTCAATTTTTGTGCGTCATATCATAGGAGAGCTCCTACAGGAGTTTTGTGGGCAAATGATCAAAGACAGGGAACAAGTTCAGTCAAAGATAGAGTCAAGAAAAGTTCACTTCTGTACTTAGATGGAGACAATAACAAAAGGTTAACTAGATGATTGGGAGAATCACACAAGAGAGCAGCAGACTTGAAGTCAGAGCAGAATTAGTGGAATAAGGAAATGCTCCTTCACAATAATCTTAATGACGAAATGGAAAATCAACAGTTAAAAAAATCAAAGTCCACATAACAGCAAAGAATAGGTTTTTATATATATAAATATATATATGTAGAAAGTGTGAAATAATTGTGTGAATTTAAAGGTTTTATTGTCTCTTTTAACACATTAAATTATTCTAAACTATTGCCAAGAGGATTAAAATCCGTCACCCATCAAATTAACACTTCGTATATTTAAAATTATTTTATGTCTTTTCATAAATCTGTTAGACATAAAATTTTAATTTCACAATTTATTAATCTAAATTAAATATACCTTCCTTTCTTATGTTTATATTTTTATACTTGATAATAAATATTAATTATTGTTTTAATCTTTGTGAACTGTTTGCTTGCTCTGTTTGAACTGTTTTATGTTGTAAGGTACTTTGACATAGCATAGTCCAATTAAACCTAATTGTTATTAGATCTTTTTAGCATGTTAATAAATTAGTACATCTAAAATTCCATCAAATCATAATTAAATAACTTGAGAAAAGGTAGTAGTGGGGTTTTTTTCCCCAAAGGTTTTTTATTCCATGTGACGTTTTAACCACATTTTTACATTACGTCTGTGTTTCACCCGATGTGCTTCATATCTTCTCTGAAGCTAGTGAAAGAATGGCCACTTTTTTCCTTAGTTTTAACCGACTACATTAGCATGTTGATGTCCTGAAGTTTGGGTTAACAAAGACGTAAAGAGTAAGACGGGTCAATCTCTCCACAAGTCATCTGTTTCAAATGCAGACATTTTTCTGCTCATTTTGCTGGAGAGCTGAGCAAGTGTGCACATGGTAAAATATGAAAGCACTTTGTTAAATGAAATAAATAAAATCAGTCACTGTATTTGCCTGGAAATCCAAACCCAGGTTTGAGGTGAGGGAGAAACATTAATGTGACTGGCTGTTGTCTGGATGTTCTCAAATACCTCGAACATTCAGCCAACATGGATGAAATTCGGTCATCATCCGGTTAGTTAGTCGTGCTATCTGCTCTAGTAAGCCAGTCTGGTGTTTCACAGAAACGTAGCTTCTAGCTAACATGATGAGCTTCTGTGCTTATTTGCGACTGTATTCTCTTTACAGCCACATAATATTTTGGTCACTCCAGCTCTCTGTCCACTGACCGGACTTGCACTGGTTTTGAAAAATAAAAGACATAATGGCAAGAAACTTGATGGAAATAAGAAAGTGCTCCAGGCAGATCTGTTGCAGCACCATAAATCAAACATTTTACTTTTGCCATTTTGCTGAGAAGGCAGTGAGGGGAAAGAGCAGAGCGGAGGGCAACAGGCTGCAGTATCCTGTACACCGTCCCCACCAAGGATCCAAACACCGGGCCAACTTTCACCGTAGACTGAATCAGACAGAGTGACGGATGGTTTACTTTAAGCAGCAATAAACTGCAAAGAACTCAAAACTTCATCAAGTTGGAAACTGGTTTCTATACTTGACATTTTATTTTTTCTTTAATCTTTTCACTTTTTTTCATTGAGCGTGATTCGTTGCTTGTTACTGAGAAAACCTTTTTTGCACGCTCCATCACATTGATGGGTTTGCTTTCATTAAGTCAGTGATGTATATTAAACTCGGTTATGCATAGGCTGCACGTCAACTTGACCCGCCGTCTAACGAAGGACTCACGTGACGAGCTACTTTGCTTAAAAGGACCTCAAAAGGTGGATCTAATTGCAAAAAGCACTTTAACTCTTCACTCAATGATTTAATCACAAAAATATAGCAACAGTTCACAAAAAAATGACCTATAAAGAGGTTTTTTCTAGGTATTTTATGTTTTTTTTCTTATTTAAAACAAAGCAAAAAGTATCTGGGTCAAGACATTCCTATTTAACACCCACAATTTTGTAATTGTATGTTTATATATAAAATCAAAATCTGATTATGTTGCTGAAAAAAACCACATGAACTTATGTTTGCAGTTTACTTTATAATTCCCACATAGGAAAGAATTTGCACTGTTCAAATGACACCTAAAATAAACTTTTTGATCTCCACGCAAAACATTACTTTGTGTGTCAGAAAACTAACACTGTGTAAAATTGTAAAATATGGTGCAGGCACCACCGTGCTGTAGGTGTGTATTCCTATGTAATGGACAAGGAAAGTGGTTGAACCTGATGGAAATATGGATGGGGCCAAGTTCAAAGCAATACAAAAAAAATGTTAATGGCTGCAAAAGACTTGAGACTGGAGCAGGAAAACTACTCTAAACATACAAGCCAGAGCTTTGCATTAGAATGGCCCAGTCAAAGCCCAGACCTCAATCAGATTAAGAATTTGCGAGGGCTGAAAGCTGATGCTCCTGGATGTGAATAATCTTGAACTATTTCTCAAATATATATATATATATATATATATATATATATATATATATATATATATATATATATATATATATATATATATATATATATATATATATATATATATATATATATATATATATATAAAAAAGCATTATAAACAAATGTGTGTGAAACTGGGGCTGAGCGGATCTTGAGAAATGGCCTCTTATTCTTACAGCTTTAGTTGCAGCTGAAGAGCTGATTCAGGTGAGCTGATAACAAATGTACATCACACTTTTGATATTCTTATGTGTAAATATCTACAGTATTTTACAAAATCTCAATCATTTATATTGATGCTTTTCTTTCCAATGGGACAAAATTGAAAAGAATTTCAAAAGTAATTAACAATTCTGCCAATAGGTAAATATTAAATAAAAGCTTTTGGGCTGAATATCAAGTCCAAAGTTTCAATTAAACAAGGACTCAGTCTTCTCCTTACAGGCAGACGACCGTGAACCGTCCTTGTTTTTCTCAGTTCCAGCTGTACGAACTCTTCTTATGGACTTAACCTCACAAACCTCGAGCATTTAGTGCTCGATTTGGTGTGCACTGCTGTCTGATCCAACCTAACGTAACCCTTCCCACCTGTCGCCACAAACCGTCCACCCTGCTGCTTCCCTTCGACTGACACGGCAGCGCCGAACGCTCTTACAACTCGTTTTGTGCAACAGAAACGGTTCCGCCGTCCGAAGAAAGCAAACATTTTGCTATTCAGACAAGGATGTTTGACCTTATACATAAAAGCATTGTGATATCAAGATAAAAGTGCTATTTTCATCACTTTTACTGACAAAATTTTAATAACTGAAGTTATTGATTGATTGATTCCAAATACTAAGTCAACAAATATATGATATTTCAATGTTCAAATGATTGATGTTATGATGTATATTCACAAGAAAGAGCCCAAGAAGAGGTGAAATATGGCTAAATAGCATTAGCTGTTGGATTAAATAGAAAATGACAAAGGTAGAGCAAGTCAAAAACACCATAGGAGTCAGTTTTCTCCCTCTACTCCAACATTCATCATTATTTGACCTGAACGCTAAACCATTAAAAATAAGAGCGAGATCTTTGAAAACAGGCCGACTGGTCCTGAATTTAAAATGGCGTCACCCATAACTCTGTGTGGACAGTCCGTACAAAGACACACTGATCCAGCTTTTCTGCGCGGTCCTCATTAGGTCCTACTAATCGGACCTGGCGAGGTTCACCTGAGGAGAAACCATGGGAGGCGCCAAGAAACCAGCGCGAAAATACTGAGAAGTTCTTCCAACGGAGTTTAAATCAGTCTGACTGATTTAAGGCTTTTATTACAGCTGTTTGTTATTGTATTGCTTGTCGTCTTCGAATACATCACCTAAACTTAGATTTCCTAACGGCAAAACATTTAATTATTTTAACCCCCCCTCCCTGTATGGTCCATTTGAAATTGCTCAGGTGATTAACAAATTTAAAATTTTTACCTTTAACTTTTAAATTAATTAACATTTTAATAGTTTAATAGAGCAACCATTACAAGGCTTTGGCCTTGTAATGGCTTTGTACCAAAGGCTTTGTAATGGCTTTGTACCAAGGCTTGGGTACAAAGCCGACTTTTGCAGACTGCTGCTGTCTGAAAATGATTGAACACACTGACTTAACATACATTTACAAATCAGTCGTGGTCTCAAAACATCCTGATACAATTAATCAATGGCTTCATTAGTTGGATCGGTGTGCTTAAAACAGTAAATTGTATCGTTACATCGAAGGCTAGCAGGTGATCAAAAGACTTTGCGGCAGCAGCCACCCAGTTTCAGTTTCTGAGCACTGATGTCATCAGTGTCATACAAACACTACTGAGCCAAAACCTCCAATATAACCCAAAGTGGTTTTGGGGTTCTATTTTGGTGACGAGTGACAA